TTTCATTCAAACTATGAAGAACGGTAGAGACAAACAAGTTAGAAACAAGTACATGCTAATCTCTCTGTGATTGCCGCATTCCGGACGTGAGACCCTCTTCAAAATCGAGACTAGAAGGTAGCAGACTTGATCGGATGTGACAGTTTCGCGTTCCCAGTGTCTCATTAATAAATCGTGCAAACGATCCATAAAGTCTAGTCCACCGAATTGAAGACCACTGGTACGGCGCCCTTATCCCATTTCAATACCCCAGGCTCACGTTTGAGTTAAGCACACAACGAATTAAAAGGACCGGTGCAGAGAGCACAGCGATCAGTGACATTCGAAAAAGATGGGGCCGCGGAAATTTTAAGCCTTTCAGCTACAGTTAGGTCGATCTGCACAGCAGCAGCACTTAAGTGCGCACACAACGGAACCACTCGTTCGTACACGAACCTTGTACTCAAAAGGGCAATTTAAAGATACATATCCAGACCATTCATTCAAAGTAGCAAACATACAGGTGTGGCCACCGACAAATAATTTTCACGGACATATGTCCTTTGACAACACTTAAGAATGTTCACTTGAGTCAACAAAACTGTATCTGTAAGTACTGTGGGAAATTCTTCTTCCTCTACTTCGCCCTTCAGGCTCACGTACATACTGTCCACTTGACGCGACAAGGATACACATGCTCGACTGTGATAAATCATTTACTCGATCAAACACGTTACTGAGGCACCTTCGTTCTCTTCATTTGAGAGCGAACACACACCTGCGAGTATGGTAAAAAAATCTTTTTCTAAGATGTACCTCAAATACCACATAGCAAAGCCGAGATCGCACTGCTGGGCTGCTTTCCGATTACTAGCCGACTGTATGCAGTTCGGCTTTGCGGATCATGCAAGATCAACAGGTCGTGAGGAGAGACGCAACTTGTTTGTGATCTCAGCTTACGTTCCTAATGATTGCAGTTGCGATTCCGTCAAGGACGACTTCCACCGTGAAATTCCGCAGCTCTTGAGCAGAGCTTGCAAATCCCATATAATTGTATTTCCTGGGGATCTCAACGTACGGGTTGGTCGTCTATTAGCAGGCAAAAATCACTTCGGTGATCACTATGTGCTCGATGAAGGCTGCTCAGATAACACAGAGAGGCTTCTCACACTGTGCGAAGACAATCGTTTCTTACTATCGAGCCCAAGCTTCAGGCATTCGAGGAGACATTCCGCTACTTGGCTACCCTTTTACATCTCAATCGTTGTCTCAGAATGATCATCTCAAAATCAGTTTCTGATTGCAAAGCAGTGTAAAAGATTGCAGATCAATCTGATCCACATTTATTGACTTAGACCACGCTCTTGTTTGTGCGAACATCTGCATGAGTTTCGGAGGATCCCCGAGAACGAAGCATTGTAAGGTAGATACGAATAAGCTATCTGCTCCCTTGGTTCAGCGAAGCTATTAATCTTCCCTGGTCTATGCATTCAGCTGCGACCCATCGCAAAACATTGATGAATACTAGACTTTCATGCACAGGATCTTGATCCCTTCCGAGAAGTTAGTCTGTGGTCTTCCTCAACACCTTATGAAAGTATGGATCTCCACGCTCTCCCTGAATCTAGTTGACCACCGCAGGAATATACCAGCGGAGTCCAATCATAATGAAGTGCGCCGTTCTGTCAGTCGGCAGCGCAAACAAAATCTACGCATTGACCGTGCAGTCTGGTGGTCTCAGCGTGCTTCGGAGATGGAGGCCGCTGCTCTTTCTGACAATACTCACAAGCTCTCCTAGCTCATTCGGCCCACTATCCACAGAAAGCCTGGTATCAGTGAGACTATTTACAAGGCGGATAGTTCGCCGATTCCCAACCTACAGAGACGCTTGGATCCATGGCCCGAACACTTTCATTCCCAGTTTAATTGGCCCTCCCCGTCTACTTATTTTCCCTGCGAACCAAGCTGACCGCCCTGGGTCATCACATTTGATCCACTTACGATCCACTCATGATCCACTTACGATTCAACACTTGAAGCAATTCAAGGCTGCCGGCCCAGAAGGACCTCCTCCGGAGCTGTGCAAGTATGGAGGTGCAGTTATCATTAGCCAGCTAAACTCATTGTTCTCCAAAATCGAATATGAATAAAAGATGTCTTCGTCCTGAGGCGAATCAGTTATTGTACCGATTTTTAAGAAGGGCGCTCGCACTTCATGCACCAATAACCGGGGGATTAGTCGGATTTCGGTTGCCTCCAAGCTATTGGCATCCATTCTACTCTGTAGACTATCCCCGATTCGTGAATCGCAGTACCAAGAAGAACAAACTGGCTTCCGTCCTGGCCGTGGGTGTGTGGATCAAATACTCACGCTTCGCCAAATCCTGGAACATCGCCACATCTACCAGGCTTACCATAGTTGCTTTCTTAGACATCCGTGCTGCATTCGACTCGGTTGATCGAGCTACGCCATGAGATTGCTTGGTAAAGAGCGGGGTCCCAGAAAAGTACACTGCTATCCTGCGTGCACTCCACCTTCACATCTCCAGCAGAGTGAGGGTCTATGACAAGCTTTCGTCGTCCTTCGCGGTCAAAAGCGGTGGACGACAGAGCTGCCCTATGGCCCCTTTCCTCTTCAATTTTGCGATTGAAGACGTCCTGCTGGGAGTAACAAGTTGGTTTGCAGTTACTGCCAGGCAAGTGAGCGACCGATTTAGATTATGCCGATGACATCGCCTTACTTGGTAATGACTCGCAGAGTATGCAAACCATTCTAAACCGTTTGGCGATAGAGACATCTAAGTAAGGAATGGGCTTCGCCCCGTCGAAGTTTAAAGTGCAGTTTTGGGAATGACACTCCCGTTTCCGTGCTCATTATTGAAGGTAGACATCTTGAACAAATAGGTAACTTTGTCTAACTGGGCAGTTGCGTGTCTGCTAATGGTACTAATGAGAGAAGTTTCCTTCCGCGTCGCCAAAGCTCGGTCGGCGTTTGTTAACCTGAAACACTTGTGGCGTCATCTGGATGTCTCCCACCAGGTAAAGGGTCGCGTTCGGGGGATGTTGCTATATGGAAGCGGGTCGTAGCCAGTTCGTGCGGATGATATGCGCTGGCTCTCGGCTTACGACGATGGGCGTCTGAGGATGTTCGCTGGTGTGTGGTGGGAGCAAGGTGTCTACAGCAGTGAAGTCAGAAGTCGTGTCTTACGGAATGCGGGTATTCCCTTCAACAAGCTAGTTTTGCTGCGTCAGTTAAGATGGCTCGGTCACATCCTGCGCTTGTCAGCTGAGCGTTTGCCCTAGTGCGCCTTTTTCGCTCGTGCAGAACTTGGCTGGAAGAGATCACGTGGCAGTAAGCCATTCAATTGGCAACAGCACATGAAATCGTTGACTTCACATCCTGCCACCGTTGAATTCACACGTCTGACCGGTTGGGGACAAAAGGGCGAAGTGTGCCGATGGCTGGAGAAAATTCAGGATATCGCGCGCAATCGAACCCGTGGAAGATCTGTGTGCATACTTGTTTAGATACAAATGCTTCAGATAATGTGCTATGATGATGATGCGTTGATGAAACCAGTATTCTTCCGGTGATTGCCATGGTTTTGTTTGGTTCTCTATTTGTTAGACTGTTGCTAATATAACTACAGCTTGTAAACGAAACGAAGACATGTTGCCGATGCATCGGTAAGACAATGCGTATCGATCGGACGGCGCGGTGCATGTCCGAGTGCGTGAATGAGCGCTGCCCATGTTAGTTGCGTCAACGTGTCAGTGGGGCTAATAGCAGCCAGCTTTTGGTTCATATCGTCGACACAGAATCAGGTGGGTCTAAACCATGCCTGCATCGATCGAAAGGCCTCCATACACCTGTGACAGTTGAGGCAATTTGCATACGATTATTTCAGTCACGCCTGTATCAGTAGGAGAAGCTGATGCAAGCACTGCAGTTTCCATGGTCAACGAAAGCTAGAGACGCTGAGGCCAGCTACAGTAGCTTGTCAACATTAATGCGGTAAATAACGTGCCAAGTGTTAAGACGCTTGTTGGTCTCTGACCCTGATCCAAACGTGATCTATGTAAAGAGAAGTGATTCTGCTAATTTTTCCTTAGTCTACCCCTACATATGATAATAAAGGTCTGATAATGAGGCACTATCTCTAGTATTTTTTGCTATCACTAGACCATGATTAACTGAAGGCATTCGTGTCCACATAGAAGTTGAAAAGAGAAGATCAACTGAGTTTTACCTTCTACCTTTGTTACAATATTACGGTATGCCCTCACTCGACCACGATAAACTAGAGATCGTCAAGGTGAAGTTGAAAAGGAGAGGTTAGCCAATTCTTTATCCTAATGCTGTGCCCCGTTGTTCCAGTATGTTCTGAATCGACGTCTAATTTCATCCATTCTCCAACGCAAAGTGAAGGCATAAGATGTTACAGTAAGTAGACTTCGCGGCATTACGGCAAGATTGATGTCAAGCCATAATTTAGTCCATTAAAGAACTTCCAAAAGAGCTAACCGATTAAATGCATTTATGTTTTTGCGAACAGTTCGCTGCTGACACTGATATAATCATTATACTAAACTTCTTTTTAATTAAATTCAGCCACTACGGATGACATCAGTGAAAGCAATGAACAGAACATGAGTATTTAAAATTCCGGAGTAATCGATTGAGACTAAGTAAGATTAGGTTGGAATCCATCATACTTTCCTTATTCCAACACCCATACTTCCTAACCGTTGATCTCAGCACTCACACGTCCACTCGTTCATATGCGACAGCATGAAACATTTGTTCTGGATATGGCCCTGCGTAGGACCAGCTTCGCGCGGTCAACAAGAGTACTATCGGTTTGTTTATTGTCATTCACCTATGATCTTGCGCTCACAGAATCGGAGTAAGCTGAAATGTTCAGGAACGACGGGATTGATAATGTAATAAAGTAGGAGCGGATGATGGATACTGGAAATCACAAAAAAATCAAGAGGAAATGAAAAGTGACAACGCTCACTTCTTTTAAAGCTTCCAGTTCATTGGCGAGCTGTAATATTTCTGTTTGTCTCGGCAAAAAATCGTGGTGTTTTCTCAATGCTTCACATAATGCAAGTCTGGTTTCGAGAATTCTTTGTGAACAATCACTCATGATTGTCGGCTATAAAAGGACAGAATGAATGACATTGACCCTACATCACAGAATCACCAAAAAGTAACAGTAGATAATTATGGAATGTAAGAACAGCAATTGCAATTGAGATACATATTTCGCAAGCAAAAGCTGAGATTTCACGGGCTAAATAGCCTGGTAAATTTTTAGATGGAAAAGATGACGCATTTAAACTGGATAGACCCTCTATGGAAGAGCAAATATAGAATGAGTGAGCAAGTAAACCGCTCTGTGTTTCATGGAGAAGATTAAGACTTGAGAGATAATCAATAAACAGCGATAGTCATATGACGGCAGAAGAGGAAAAGATAAGCGTTTCCGGATCTCCGAGCTTTGCCCATTTGAGTGGCGTTAAACAGCTGTGAAGCATGTGATTCTTTGTTGTAGCCAAGGAATGCAGAGCTGGCCAGTTGATCAAGGACATTTCCAAAGTACACCAATGGAACCAATGGCTAGTCAAAAGCGTGAAGTGTGATGCATTTAGTTGAGCAGCAACCCGTCAATTCAATTCAAATCAAAATGTGCTTTACACACTTAAATATGTGCGTTATCAGCGCTTACACTAACACTGCGGATGCACTAAATGAATGGGACCAGTTAAAAATACATCAACACACATGGAAGAATTAAACAGGCAAAGGTATGTGGATGTCATTCAATCAACCGCATGCGCAAAGCATTTGTGACTTAGAGTCGACAAGAAAGCGTGACAGATAAGGTTAGCTTTTGTTACGATACGAAGCATTGTGAGAGAATAAAAATCCTAAATTTTGAGCGTGTGAGAGACAGATAACATTTGTGAGAGAGTATCATGTAGCGGATCAGAGCGGTCACTTAAGACGGGAAGTAAACTTCTTGCAAGCGTCAAAATGCTTACGAACAATAAGACCAACTATGGAATCTCTCTGCAAGACACCACAAGTGCAAAAATGTTTACTCGATCGCACAATCAAAACATAGCCCTTCTGCAGCAGTCCAGGGAAGATTACTGGGGAAAAGCATAACCAGTGTGGTAGTATACGTGCGGTTTCGCGGTACGGATAACTTCTTAAGTCGGAAAGCATAAAAAGATAACCTTCTGACCTAATGGAAGGTCTCCAAAACGTGCAAGGATCAAGAGGAGTTTTGTGAAAAATAGACACCGAGATATTTGATAGTGGATAAAATAGAAACGGTTTTGTCTCCCAAAGTTAATAGAGGAGAGGTATCTAATATTACTCGCAATTTATCAGGTCGAAGAAACGCAAAGGTTACATCAATATATTTTAAGGTTATGGGATCTGCTTGAGGACCAACTCACGAGTTCGTCTAAACCACATTGAAGCCTAGATGTCTCGGTGGTGGGATATCTGCACCCCAAAACAACAACGTCGGCATATTTACATCCAATGAATGTCGATGGTATGGCGAGACTTCCGACATATAAAGAGAGTAAAAGAGGTGAGAGGATGGCGCCCCGCAAAACATCAGTCAGTGCGGGGCATACAAGAGCATTTGTTGCTTAAGTAGGTAAAGTGAAATAGTCGCATAAGAAGTGACAAATATCAGGGTGGACTCCATTCAAATAAAGGAGATTAAGCAAAACTGATTGAACAAGACTCACAAACGCTTTTGAATAGTCAAGAAAAAGTCGTAAAGACCTGTACTTCTTATTTAGAGCAGAGGCTATTGAATGCACAAGATACGAGACAGCATCAAACGTGGAGCACTGCGATCTAAACGCAAACCAGTAGACATCATCAGCACGAGTGGCTGTGGAGATCCGTGGAACTAGTAGCCTTCTGAGAACTTTTGAGAGGACGGAAGTACAAGCAATAAGCCGATACTTTTGAGGTTCCTTTGTGGGAATCGGCGTTATTCCAGCTGACCTCCAGATGTCGGTGATGGCACCGATAGTGAGACACCTGTTAAAAAGATCAATCAGGGGTAAAGTAAGGGAATCGGCACATTGCTTCGAAAGCACGGGTAATAAGCCATCAGGGCCACTAGCTTTATTTGTATTTAGCTTCTTGAGCTCTCTGTTGACGTCAACTTGATCAAATAAGACGGCATGGTATGAGCTAATGAAAGAGGGTACTGGAAAAGCGATCGACGGAGAGGAACTAAACTCAGAATTGAGTTTGTCAACATACACGAGTCCAGTACCTCCGATGGTACTTCTACTGCTTCAACAGCCTCCAGAGATATCCGGTTTCCCCGTACCGTTTCAATGTATAAACTGTTTAGTCAGGCAATTTCAGCTTTAATTGCTAAAGTCAGGCTCTTGACTCAGATGGTCATTTTGAGCTTGTAAGCACGTTCTTTTTTCGAAGTTGTTTCAGCAGGAGGTGAGGAAAATCTATACGCTCACAGGTACATCGTCTCGATAGGGCAACATAGGTGGACATACAAGTTAAGGTAGCGTGAGATGATCGCACTGAAGTCATAGATCTACATCTGTAAAGACTGAAAAATTCATTCAAGAAGGCGTTTCTTGACGTCTTGCGATATTTGCCACCGAGCAATTGCGCTGTCGAATAGTCCTGAATTGTCGGTTCCTTAATGCGGCATAATTTTACAGTAGGTGGTAGGGCAAATCTTAAGCATACAATGGTCCGAGTTGCTTAGTGATTTTGTTCGTGTAAGCAACATCAAGTTGTGCGTCTTGTTTAGACGGGAAAGTCACCAAATTTGCCACATCAAGTGACTTGAAGAACATTTATTAAAGTCATCGGTGACAATGCAGACAGAGCATTCTAATTTCGGCAGCAATATCAAAAAAGTTATTAAACTAAAAGCCACAGTTCGGAAGACGATATATCAGGAGCAATGTAGAAGTTTCCGATAATAATGGATTGAAAGGCACTGGGAAATTTAGGCCTGTAGTCAAGTAAAAGAGCTAATATAACATGTAGACTGAGTGAATAGTTGATTGACTGAGTTGCACCAGAGTTGGTTAACGTACGTGATGACGTCGCCGCCATTATTCCTTGGCTTACCAGGGCGATCGGACTTATTCGCAGGGTATCCACTGTAACTTCATCTTCAATAGCAGGGTACAACCAGCTTTCTTGTAAGGTAATAATACCTGTGCTTAGATATTCCCTTCGTTGTATAAGAACTGTGAGATCAGCGATTTTTGTTAGCAATGAACGCATATTGCCAGATGAATGGTAATTGCATTTTCTGCAAAGGGCATCGTCAGAGATCAACTTTCCAACCAGCGCGATGTTTCCCCATGTCGCCATTGTGTTCTCTCACAATCTGTTTAAAAGTGTTCTTCGCTTTATATCCGTAGTCCACAAAAAGCACTTTGCGTGCCGCACATGGAAACGGCTTCAAAAAATCGGCGGAGTAGGATAACATTGGTAACTAGGATAAGGTTCAGTTAAACAAAACTGATGAAGTAAAACAGCAAAAGTCCTAGCTACGCAGTAGTGCAAAATAACCGATGTACCAAGAAGCAACAGCAACGGTCAATTTCAAGGCCCCACCAGAATCCAAACACTTGGAAGAAAAAGACTTCAGCAAAACGCCAGTACGTACCAAGGCTTCGTTGCCACGCAACCAACACCAGTTGCGCGTTGGTCACCAACACATGCTCGAACAGGTTAAGTTCGGGTTGCGAGGTAAGAGGACTTGTCCTGACGGCCAACGGCCGGGTGCAATACATGTAGCCTTAATCCTTTGCGAACGTCCGCTAAATTCTCAGTTCGGCTTAGTTCAGCTGAATGACAAAGATCTGGGCACCGAAGTGCGGTAGATCCAGTTGCCCACCAAGGTTGCAGTAAATGGGTACTCACGAGGACCATTAAGTCGTTGAATAACGACACCCGTGACAAGTATGGAGGTAACGGAAATAAGGTTAATGTCTCGATACTTTTCGCACAAATTACGCTGACCTCACTTGAAGATGGACGACAGTTGACAGTCGTCAGTCGGAAGGCACCTCTTCAGTGTTCCAATTCGTGTCAAGTAGACAAGCAAGTCCAGTCAACAAATAGTCACCACCATATTACAGCAAAGATGCAGAAAGATCGTCGGGCCAAGAGCTTTGTTACGTTTCAACATGGAAAGCTTATGCCAAATCTCTTCCAAAGTGGGAAGTGTGTCCTCAACTTTCCACATCGGCTCAGGTGATTCATCAGACGGCAGTGTCGCATCAGACCAGCTGAACTGCTCTAAAAGAATGTTCGGCCCAAAGGACTAGTCGAGAAAGCTAAGAATGGATCAGCTACCGGTTTTTCTCAGCTACAGTCGCTAACGGATGGTTTTCTCGGACCCGTGTTCTAGATGAGTTGCAACAGAACTCGGCTGTTCCCAATCGCACTGGTTCTCTCCATCTCACAGGCCCTTGCGATTCACTAATGTTCCCGGTCGATTCGAAGACTTTTTGTCAGACGTCGTGTCAAGGCATTACGGGCATGCTGAAACTCACTACCCACTGGCATATGTTTCTAAATTTACCGATGTCTCAGAGATCTGTTCACTGTTCGAACTTCTCAAGTTGGATGCACAGAAGACGTCAAAAGCATTCTCCATGACACAGTTAAGATGATTCCAGTCAGCGTTCGGTGCATCAGTCGCATTCACCACTGTCAATCGGTAGCCCAATGTGTTATGGTATTGTCAGACTGCGAACTGCGGGTCAAAGTTACAGGAATCAGGGATAGTGAGCGCTAGGTTGGCTAGGCCCGTGATCAGACCGAGACAAGTCTGTTGATTGAGGTCTTTCCGGTACCGCAATCTGACCGTTGGGCATTAGCTGGGCTTGACCTTGGACTCAGCTCGTACTGGTCTTCAGGGCAGATGATTGAGTGACCACAATACGCGAGCTCCATTGACATGCACTCAAGAAAACGTACTCTCCTAACAAAAGATACGAAGTTTCATATACCTAAGCCACACCGAGTCAAATGGAAAAGCGTTGCAACCCTGTGCGTAACAGTTGAGAAGCTGATCCCAGTAGCAGCATGGTGGACGATCGTTGCAAGTTGGCCAGATTCTGGT